GGCTGGACTCGATGATCTTCCGAGGTCCCTTCCAGCCCGAATGTCTATGAAATCTATGAAATCCCCCCGACTCTCTCCCCAAAGTCCCATCTGCTCCAAGGCCCCCCTAGCACGGGATGAGGCAGATCTTGTAGCTGCGGGGCAGGGTGGCAAAGCCCACCAGCTTCGGGGAGAAGTCGAGGTCCTGGCGGTAGATGGGAGACTCGAAGCGGAAGTGCTGCAGGATGCTGGTGACGAAGAGGAAGAGCTCCACGCGAGCCAGCATCTCACCGAAGCAGTACCGCTTCCCCGTGGGGGGACACAGCAGGGAGAACTCAGGGCCTGGCACTGAGCTCTGGGGCCCAAGGAAGAGGGGACTCTCAGGCCTGCCTCAGCCTACTCAGCAACAGCTGGTCTAGTTGGGTGGCAGGGCTTGGGCTTGGGCAGGGGCTGCCGGGGCCATGTGGACAGTTGGTTTGAAGCCCAGAAGAGGGGAAGGTCAGGGCTGGGTTATGCAGCTCAGGATGCAGGTGGTGTTGACGGGCAGGTTTAGGGAATGGGACAAGAAGAGGCATCTGTGGGGGGGTGGGGCAGAGTCGAAGCCCAGTGCATGCCTCAGGGGCTGCTGCTGAGATGGGCTGAGAAGTCCCCTCCCTCACCGGGGCAAACCAGAGTTGAAGCCAACAGGCCATCGTGCCCTCGGTGGTTGTGACCCCCTGGACTCCACTAGGGTAACCGTGTTGGCTACAGCCGGGGCCCTGCTACCTTTGGGGTCGTGCATGCCCCTCACAGGTGCTGGGCTTCATCCAGGATCCGCTCCTCGATGCTTCTCTTGCCCACACCGAAGTTGCACAGTGTAGGGATGGAGAAGCGGAGCGGATGCTTTACCCGCTCCCCGTTGGTGAAGATCACACCTGGAGGAACACAGGCAGGGCGCTTGGCGAATGGAGGGGCTCCTGGGAATCAAAGCTGGCCCTGCTCTGAGGGCTGGGAAGGGCGAGGCAGGTCCCTATCGCCGTCCCAGGAGGGCCAAGCACCAGCTCTTTCCTACCCCGCCGGATGGGAATACCCCAGATTGCCAGCGTAAGCTGAAGCACCACAAGCGAAGCAAAGGAGTTGGCTGTAGCCCTCAGTGGCGCAGCCGGTTCTTGTGATGCAATGATGGGAACCTCTCCCCCTCAACCCCAGGCTGTGCTTCCAGCTGGAGCAGATCACTGACCATAGCCCTTGAAGAGCCAGTCGAAGGTGGCCTGCTCCCTGTGGCCACCAAACTCCTCGCCCTGGTCCAGCAGGGCTTCCTTAACATCCCGGTAGCTGCACGGCACCACGACCAGGTGCGTGCCCAGCTTCCCGGCCATCTGCCGCCAAGTTGAGAGGCAGGATTAGGCAGGACAGGCAGATGTCCAGGAAGAGGGCGAGGGCACCAAGGAGATCCATGACCTGCAGTAGCCTTGGTCCTTCAAAGACCTCCAACTGGGTCAAGAGCTATTCATATCCGTGTCCGACCGCCCCTAGTCAGGGCACCCACGTTGCAAAACTGTTTTCCTTCCAAAGCATGCTGGGACATAGATAACAGCAAGGCTCAGGGTCACGTGGGACCGCAGCACAGGGTATGGCATTGCCTTGCAAAACCACAGGGAGCACTTCTCGATCTGCCCAGCCACAGCCTCCTGCCGGCGTTTCTTCCCCTCATGATGGAGCCAAGGAGCCAGGGTCTATACACGAGGCAGAAACAGGGGAACTGGGATCGGAGCTCCCTGGGTCCTAGCTGGACAGGGCCAAACCCTCCCCTTGCCCTGTACCGCTAAGTGCTTGCCGGCCTGTAGGGAGCACGGCAGCTGGCAGAGGGCAGCACTGGCTCCCAGAACGGCTCCCGTCTTCGGAGCCAGGCTGTCATTGTTTCCCTGGCATAAATTCAGCCCACAGCTGAACCCCAGCCTTCAGCCCACCAGCTTCGGGGAGATGTCGAGGTCCTGGCGGTCGATGGGAGACTCGAAGCGGAAGTGCTGCAGGATGCTGGTGACGAAGAGGAAGAGCTCCATGTGAGCCAGCGTCTCACCGAAACAGAACCGCTTCCCTGCGGGCAGAGGATGGAGAGCTCAGGGCCTGGCACCCAGGGAGGGGGCTCTCAAGCCTGCACAAACCCAGCTGGCAAGGGCTGGCCTGGTTGAGAGCCAGGGGAAGCTGCAGGCTCTTGGGACATTGTGGACACTTGGACAGAAGCCAGGCAGAGAAGGGCCAATGTGTTTGCACATGATCAACATGGTGACGGGGGCCGTGGCAACTTTAAGCAGGTGAGAAGCTGCTGCTTTCCCCCAGAGCTTCTGAGAGAGGAGGAGGAAGGCAGGGAGAGAGAGAGACAGACCATCGCCTCACTGGATCTGTACTGAGCATGGCCATGGGGCTCGTACCAATGGAGAAGGGCATAAAGGCCTCGTTCTTCTTGAATTGCCCCTTGTCATCCAGGAAGTGCCCGGGGTCGAAGGCTTCGGGTCTCTCAAAGTGCTCGGGGTCCTTCAGCACCGAGCCCAGCAGTGCAAACACCTCGGTGCCCTGGGGGAGACAGCGCCATGAGACAGGCCTCACAGGCACAGGAACCTCCCCTTGTTTCTGCCCAGATTTGCCATGGGGATGGATTTGCAATGGGAGTAGAGAACAAACCTCCTCACAGTGGTGAGAGGACTTGGAGACTGGACCAGGAGGTAAACGCCATCACTGGAGGTCTCACGCAGCCCCGCCACCAACCACGCAGTCTCGGCACAAACTCTCTGAGCACGGGCTCTTTGGGGCTGGGCCTGGCATCACAGTCCTAGAGAAGTGGGACTGACAGGGGGGGTCACATCTAGTCCAACCCCCTGCCTGAGGTGAGATCAGCCCTATCCAAAACAACCAGCCATGGGTCGCACACTGTGTCCGTACAGCACCGTGCACAGCTGGGGTCAGAGATGCAACTGCAGGTTCCTGACCCAGGAGAATCCACAGAAACAAACACTTGTCACTCGAAGGGATCGATCGGGGCATGGTCCATGCAGCGGGCACAGTGTGACCAGGGGATCCAAACTGTTGTTGGAGGCCTCACCCCAGCCACTGTCGACCCCCGAGAGCCCACGACTCGCACCTGGGGAATGGTGTAGCCACGGAAGTGGGTCTGCGTGGTTGTCCGGCGGGACACCCCCAAGGGGAGGATGTCACAGAACCTCTGGCACTCATGGATGACGGCGTCCGTGTAGGGCATGCGGCTCCGGTCCTCGATCCGGGGACTGCGGGTCCTGCCGATCACCCGGTCAATCTCCGCGTGGATCTTTTCTGCAGAGACATTGGTTGATCTCTGGAGACTGTAGAGCTCAAGACCATTGGCTGGGGGTGGGAGGGGAGGAAGAGGAGCTCCTCCTTCCTGGTGATAAAGCTCTTGTGAGCGTCAGAGCAGCCTGGGGTCTGCTCTATAGTCCGCGGAGCTGCCTATTGTCCTTGGCGTGGCACTCGTGTGAGCCAACGCGAGGTGACATCATCACGTCAGTGCGAGACCCACGTGATTCCCATCCCGCTGCTGGGTTTCTCACGGCAGCCAGAGCCAGTGACCGTGCACATGGATGGCAGGCAGCCAACGCACCCGCCTCAACCCTCCCCGGGTTGATGCCCTGCTCTCTTTGCACCGTGCCGTGTTACCTTCGATCTCCGGGTGCTTGAGCAGGATGAGGAAGCTGTAGCGCAGGGTGGTGCTGACTGTCTCCGTCCCAGCAAAGAACACGTTGACGGCCGTCAGGACGATGTTCTTCATGATGAACTCAGAGGATGGGTTGTGCTTTTCCTGTTGAGGGCAGGCAGCAGAGAGGAGTCCTGATACACTGGGAATGCAGAGTTGAGGAGTCTAGAAGCCAGAGCCCAGGTCAGACCTGGGACAAGCAGCTGCCTTTGCTGCAGATCCCCAAGGGGTCCCAGCCCCGGAGCCCCCTCCCACAGCACATGAGCAGCACAATGTTGTAAATCAAATGGAGACAGTCGATCCTGGAATCATAGATGCTGCCCATGCAATTCACCTGCAGCTTCCCCCGCTCT